GGGTGCCTATAGTTGAATAATTGAAGTTCAATATCACGGTTTGATGTTAGAAACCTAAATAAAATAGTCAAATGATGGAAGTTAGGCAATTTTGATGGTGCATTATAAAGCTATGCAATTGAGGAGTGGCGACATCTCTTCCTCATGTTGATCCTTTTTCCTAACCACTAATTTGGTCTGGCGTCATGGCGCTAGTTTCCCCAATAATGCTGTGCTTGGAAGAATATTCCAAATTCCTCTAGAATCCTATAGACAAAGAGCTCAACGCCGCAACACTCCCTTATTTCCTCCTCCCAAATAGAGTTGGGTACCACAGTGCCATATCTCCAGGCACCGCAATTCTTCTAGAGCTATTTAGATAAACTTAAACTTTACTTCCCCAATATCCTTATCTTGATTTACATAAGGATTCATTTGACACTCTATGACTCATACTTACCATTCAAATCAAATTTAAAAAAGTATTAATAACAATTACCTGAGTTTTGGATATATAGATATTACACCCTTCCCTCCTTATAGAAAATGTCATCCTCAACATTTCTAATACATAGTACTATCAGAATAGATCTAGATATATTTATCTCATTTATGCTTCTTTCTCCCGTTCTGCTTCCCGCTCTGACATGTGCTTCAATAGGACCTTAATCATCATAATCTGTTTGTTCCTTAACTACTTTAAATCATACGACAAAATACATTCATGTTCTTATGTATAAGTCAAATTGGGTTGCACCTCAACTTCACTTCCAGGAATCATCTAATCTACATATGATACTCCCTTCCTCAGCACTGCTACTTGAAACACATTATGATTATCTAACATATGGCATGACAAAAATAATATGTAAATGTATTTCCTGATTCTTTTAATTACTAAAGGATCCTATATATCTAGAACTTAGTTTGTTACCTTTTTCAAATCTACTTATTCCTTTCATCAGACAAATTTTTGAATGTACAAAATCACCAACTTAGAATTCCATAGACTTGTGATTCATATTAAAATATTTATTCTGTCTATCATGAGATGCTTCTAATCTTTTTTTTATCAACATGATTTTTCTCTACAACATAGTCCAACAACTTAAAACCTATCAATTTCATTTCTCTTACTTCAACCCAAGCTAATGGGGCTCTACACATTCTCTCATAAAAAGCTTCATATGGAGTCATACTGATACTTATTTGGAAGTTGTTAAATTTAATCAATGATACATGATCTTTCGAGCTTCCACCAAAATCCAAAACATAAAGCCTCAACAAGTCTTCCAAAACCTAAATAACCCACTCGGAGTGCCCATCTATATGAGGGTAAAAAGTCATACTAAAATTCAACTTCATCCCTAGACCTTCGTGAATACTCTTTTATAGTTTTAAGGTAAACCTTCCATCACAATAGGAGATAATAATCTTAGAAATCCCAAGCAATTTGATAATCTCCTTCGCATACAGTTGAGCCAGCTCATCAACATAATCCATCTACCTCATTAGCAGAAAATGAGCAATATTTTTCAGTCTATCTCCAACCACCCACACTACATCATGACCTTGAATAAACCTAGAAAATTCCATAAAAAATCTATAGTTATATCTTCTCATTTTCATTCAGTAATATGCAACGTTGCAATAATTCTATGGGCCTTTAATGCTCAACCTCAACCATCTGATAAGCTCCATGCTTGTAAATAAACTCTACTACTTATCACTTCCAGCTAGGCCACCAAAATATTGCCTTCAGATCTTGACACATCTTGTTACTACCTGGTTGAATATTATAGTAGCTCTGTTGTTCTGTGGTTGTGTGTTGTTTTGAGTTAATTATTTGGAAGATTCAGTTCAGAACCAAATTCCAAAGCCAGATCCTGGATAAAAAGGTTTTGTCGCGGCCCGGTGCGAGCTGGGTCCGTCCCGTATCGGGTCGGGTCGTGACAGAATAGTGTACCCATAATAGTAAGCTTCATGCAGAATCTCTCTCCTCAGATCGCCTCTATCTGGAACACATAACCTCACCACACCAATCTATGTTTAGTGTCTTTCTTTATCATAAGATATTTGATAGTACAATGATTAGTATAAATAATTATTTTTGTACCGATCAAATATTCTAAACTTGTCAAAAGAAAAAAATATGGTTAGCAATTCTTTTTTAATAATTGTGTAATTATATTATGTAGAATTTAAAGCTCTTCTAGCATAAAAAATGACATAAATTTTTTTCTCGCTTTTGACTAAGAACAATACCAACAACAATGTCGCTTACATCACACATCACTACAAAAGGTAAAGATCAATCAGAAATAATAATGATTAGAATAGTAACTAAATGTTATTTTAAAGTATTAAAAGCTTTAAGACATGTAGTGTCAAATATAAAAGGTACATCCCTCTCTAATAAATGACGTAAAAGATTCAAAATTTTTAAAGAAGCTTTAATGAATCTCATATAGAATCCTACATGTGCAATAAAATTTCTAATTCCTTTAACTGAATTGGGCGGAGGCACTTTCTCTATAACTTGAATTTTTGTAACAACTACCTTCAATCCTTCCTTTGAAATTTTATGCCCCGGGATAATTCCTTCAGTCATCATGATTTGACATTTCTTCCAATTTAATATTAAATTTATCTCTGCATAACTTTTTAATAGAGAAGATAAATACTCAAGATAAGAATTAAATATAGTATCAAATAAAAAGAATTCATCCATGAAGATTTCAATACCCTGCTCAATTAAGTTTGAAAAAATTGACAACATGCATCTTAGAAAAATAGCATGAGCATTACAAAGATCAAATGGCATTCTCCTAAAAGCAAATGTTATATAAGGACTAGTGAAGGTAGTCTCATCTTGGTTTTCAGGTGCAATAAAAATCTGATGATACCCTGAATATCCACTAGAAAGTAATAAAATGAATGCCCTACCAACCTATCTAGCATCTAATCAAGAAAAGGCAAGGGAAAATATTCCTTTATAGTAGCCTTATTTAATTTCCTATAATCTATACAAATGACAAATCCTCCACCCCATGACATTTATAGTAGGAATAAGTTCATTTTGTTCATTTAATATAACTATCAAGCTACCCTTTTTAAGAACACAACTCAACCAAGAACTGTCAAAAATTGGATAGATAATCTCAACATCAAGCCATTTAAGAATCGATCTCTTTTTTAATAACTTCTTTCATTGAATGGTTAAGTCTTCTTTGAGGGTTAGCTTTTGGTAATGAATTAATAAATCAAAGGGTTAATTAATTCCTTTAATGTCAATAATTTTCCACCCAAAAGCTCTTTTAAAATCACTTAAAATCCTAATCAACTCATTTTCCTGATATTTTTCTAAGTTTGCATAGATGATTATAAGAAGAGTTAAGTTGTTACCAAGAAAAGCATACTTAAGATGGCTAGATAAAATCTTAAGCTCTAAGTCAAAAGCTTCTTTAATAGAAGGTCTCAAAGTTTTACCAAAAGATGTAGTCTCTAAAGTTTAAAAATTCTCTTTAAACAATCTTGTACTACCTCTAATTATTGAAACTCCTAAAAACTCACAATTTTCCTCAATTTCTTCCAACAAATCTCCTTATAATAATTCTTCTTTTAAATTCTCCACTGAAGTGTCTTGTAAATCAACTCTAAATCAATCTCTATTCTTGTTTGAGCAAATTTTATAGATTTCAACACATCAATAGTAAACTCATGATCTTGAACCCTTATAGTTAATTCCCCTTTTTGCACATCAATCATGACTTTTTCAGTGGCTAAGAAAGGTCTTCCTAAAATGAAAGATATTTCTCTATCTTCTTTCATATCAAGCATAATAAAATTAACAAGAAAAATAAATTTATCAACCTTAATCAAAACATCCTCTATTACCCCTCTAGAATAAGTGAAAAATCTATAATCTAATTGAAGAGTAACAAAAGTAGGTTGAACCTCTCCTATATTTAATTTTTAAAGATTGAAAGGGGCATGAGATTGATGCTTGACCCTATCTCACATATAGCTCTGCCATATAATTTATTACATATATTTAAATGAATAATGAAACTATCAGGATCTTTAAGTCTCTCAAGAAGTTTCTTTTGAAATATAACACAACACCTTTCAATTAATGCTACAATTTCAAATTCTATTAACTTCATTATCTTATTCAAAATATCCTTCATGAATTTTGCATAGGTGGACATCTGCTCTAAGGCTTCATAGAAGAGTATGTTAAGAGTTAATTTCTTAAACACCTCTAAGAACTTAGAGAATTATTTATCAAAATTTTGTTTGATCAACCTCTGAGGAAAATGTGGTGATGGTCTCTATATAACCTTCCTAATTAAATTTTTAATTTCTTTTATAAGATTAGTTTATTCAATAGAAGATTCACTTTCTAAATGTTTTCCTTCACTATTATTCTTTTGAGGTAGATCTCTATCCTTGTATGGGTCTCCAAAATCTCTCCCTCTCCTAAGTTGAATATTATTATTATTATTTAATTTTTTATTGTTAATCAAATTAGCACGATGCCATACATGGTCTTTTATTTCTCTATGAGTAGTAAATTAATGTTGCAGCTGAATTCCTAATTACATAACATTATCTTTAAATGGCATCTTCCCATTCCCAACATGATCAATTTATTCAAAAATTGAATGGTAATGCTGCGGCATTGCATGATATGGCTCCGTGGTGTTCACATGTCTAGTATCACCAACTAAGTTAGGATAATTACTATACGAAAGACCTTAACTTCTATAGTATCCAATATAACAGCCACCTGAGTAGTAAGAATTGACAAAACAAGTGATTCATAGACTCCAACTATTCTCTTAGAATTCACCCTGTCAACAGGTCATTAAAAATTATTAGTAATTCTCTCCTCTATTAATTTATAAGCATCCTCAAATGGCTTAGATATTAATGATCCTCCACATGTAGTATTTATTATTGACCTAAGACATCATACTAATCCATTATAAAAAATTTGAATAATCAACCAATCAGATAAAGCATGGTGAGGGCATTTCCTAAGCATCTCTTAAAATCTCTCTAACTTTCATAAATGGATTCTCCTTCAAACTAAATAAAAGAAGTGATATTATTTCTAAATTTAGCAATTTTTTAAGGTGAGAAATACTTTACTATAAAGTTATGTGCTAATTCATTCTATGTAATTGTAGAGCATGAGGGAAAAAATTAACCATATTTTAGCCTTGTCCCTTAGAGAAAATAGGAACAAATTAAGTTTAATAGCATTATCACTGACACCATTATACTTAACAGTTGTTTAGATTTCTAACAAACTAGCTAAATGAAAGTTAAGATCTTCAACAGGAGTTTTCCTAAACTGAAAATTTTGAATCATTTGGATAATGGTCAGTTTCAATTCAAAATTATTAACCTATATAATAGGTTTATTTATACTCCGATGGATTCCTTCTACTACATGATTAACATACTTCCTAAGTGGTCTATCATGATCTTCAACTGGGTTAGATATAGTTAAAAACTTTTTGGATTTTTGAATTTTTGTAAGGGTCATTTCTATTTCTAGATTAAATAATAAATCACTACAGGAAAACCTGTTATTACCGGCGGACTTAATCCGCCGGAAACAATGTAAAATCCGACGGAACCGGTAGTTTCCGGCGCATGTTCCGGCGCAAATATCTCCGCTGGTTTATGGTGCGTCGATAATTTTTTTCCGACGTATACGTTGCGCCGGAAACAGTTCCAACGCAGTTTCCGACGCATTACCGGCGCATTAAACGGTTTGTTTGCCGACGTGAAGAATATGAGAATTCCGGCGCCTAATGCGCCGGTATTTACCTTCGTATAATGCGACGGTAATTAACGGCGGATAAGTCGCTGGAGTTGCGCCATCGAAATTCCACGGTTATTTTACGACGCAATTGTTGCGCCGGTAATTACCGGGGGAATATCCGCCGGACTTGCGACGGTAGTGGCCGACGGATCATATTCGCCCTTGTGGAATGCGATCATTATGCCATCTCATATGTGCAGCAGATCTCATGGATGCATATAGCCGTTGTAGTCTTGGAATTATTGGAAAGTAGAACATCTTACTAACAGACACATCCTTCTGCTTTCTTCTATTTCTAGATTTGGGTTTAAATCTTGGTGCATTGCAATGACGGCATACAGTTTCTGCAATATCTTCTTTAAAGTATAGCATGCATCCATTGACACAACAATCTATCTTTGTGTATGTCAAACCAAGTTTCGAAACTAACTTCTTTGTCCGATATAGATCTGTAGGAATTAAATTATCTGTCGGATTGGTTTCCTTAAGCAGCCCAATGAATTGATTAAAACATTCACGAGCAACATTATATTCAGCCTTGATGCTTAACATCTTCACAGCAACAGATAGTTCTGAGTGAGTCGTGCACCCTTTCCAGATTGGTTGCTGTGCAGCATGCAATAAATCATAAAAATTTTGTGCCTCCGTATTCGGTAACTCTTCATAAATTCCAGTTGCATCATGAACTAATTCCTCAAGATTTGGACGGATATTTTCAGTCTCAGCAACATTACTACTTGTAGAAGGACCGCATTGATAATCAAATTGTGGCTCATACTCACCATGACAAGTCCAATACCAATACCGTGGCATAAATCCTCTGCGATACAGATCAACAGTTACGTCATCTGGTTCTAGGATCACTAGATTTTTGTGTTTAGAACATGGACATCGAAACTTTCCTTCAGATATAAAGATCGGCAGCTGTTTCGCTTGCTGAATGAAAAAGTTCACCCCATTGATGAATTCATCTGTTAATGTCTTCCGACTTTGAGATAATCGGTTATACATCCAACTTCGTTGATTTCTAATATCCATAACCTATAAATAAGAGTAAAAAATTAATGGATTTATATATTTCTAATATCCATAACATAAAATTATGTTACACTTATTAATGAAATGATTGCTCAAAGTCACAATCCCCTCACTAGGTCTACTAATCACTAAAGCAAAAAGATATGGAGTAATGATGATCTCCATAATCCAACTTTACCTTCAACTCCCTCTCTAGTCTTATCAACAAGAAGAATATCATTAACCAAAAGCATGCACCAAGGTATATCCTAAAGAAAATGTCTAGTGATAACAAGAAGAATATCATCCATGACTAAAGCAAAAAGATATGGAGATTTAAGCTTACCTTCAACTCCCTCTCTAGTCTTATCAACTAGAAGAATATCATCAACAAAAAGCATGCACCAAGGTATATATCCTATAGCAAATTAATGTCTAGTGATAACATCCATGACTAAAGCAAAAAGATATGGAGACTTAAGCTTACCTTCAACTCCCTCTCTAGTCTTATCAACAAGAAGAATATCATCAACAAAAAGCATGCACGAAGGTATATATCCTATAGCAAATTAATGTCTAGTGATAACATCCATGACTAAAGCAAAAAGATTTTTCAAATTTACCTTCAACTCCCTTTCTAGTCTTATCAAAAAAGAAGAATATCATTAACCAAAAGCATGCACCAAGGTATATCCTCTAGCAAATGTCTAGTGATAACATCCATGACTAAAGCAAAAAGATATTTCAAGTTTACCTTCAACTCCCTCTCTAGTCTTATCAACAAGAAGAATATCATCAACAAAAAGCATGCACCAAGGTATATCCTCTAGCAAATGTCTAGTGATAACATCCATGACTAAAACAAAAAGATAGCAAAAAAAAAAAAAATGCAATACCTTGGTGCATGCGAAGTTCGATTGAGAGAGAGGGAGATGCTCGGCGGCGGGCGACCAGGAGAGAGGGAGATGCTCGGCGAAGTCCGGTGACCGTCGGCGGCGAAGTTCGATGACCGTCGGCGACGTCAATCTTCGGCCAGCGACGAACGACGACGGAGGGCGACGGGCGAAGGAGGCGAGGTGAGAGAGATTAGCGAAAAGAATGACGGCCCAGAGGGCTCCGATTCGCATTTTAGGGCTTTTAGCGGCGGCCTTTCCGGCGGAGGTTTCGCCGGTAATTTTACCGGCGGACAATGCGCCGGCAATTTTTCGTTGAGTTTAAATATGCCGGCGCATAATTCGCCGGAACGGTTTCGTTGAGTTTAGAAGAACGTTTCCGCCGTAATCTGCGCCGGAAATAATCCAGAGCCCTTTTCACCGGCGGTATTGCCGGCGCAATTGACGCCGGTAAATTTCCGGCGTCTGATCAGCCAGAAATTACGCCGTAAACGTTACGTCGCATCATTCCGCCGGAACCTGCGCCGACAATGCCGGCGCAAAAAAATCCGCCGGAAATTCCGACGGTAATCACGTGTTTTCCCGTAGTGAATGCTCATTATTAGATCTACCAAGCATATAACGAAGATACAACAATTAAAAAAAATAAAAACTAAACAATCAATAAAAAAAACATTTTTAGATTTTTAAAATTTTTTAACAAATATATTACAGGATACAAGTAGGTCTAAATATGCATTTTTTTCAACAATATAATTAATTACAATAATCAAGTTACTTTCCCGGCAATGACGCTAAAAACTTGGTGTGGGGGCATACGCGTGATAAGTTAATAGCGAGCTAATGAAAAACTCGTTAAATTTGAAATATGCTTAGGGTTTTTATAAAAAATTTATAACATACCACAAATTTATGTAAGTATATGTTATGAATCAAATAATAAATTGATAGAGTAGAGTGTTGAACACACGAGGAAGTGATATGCTAAATTGCAACCAAACTACTATTGGTTATTCCAATTGCATTAATTTATCATATTGAAATGAAAGCTGGGGTTTGGGAGCTCTCACCACTGAATCAAAATAAGAAAAAGATAGTTGATACAATTTAAAAAATATATATATATGTTGGATTGATATATGTAAAAAACATATCTTTCCTAATGAGAATCTTAATTGTAGATGTAGATTAGAGAATGTGCATTCCTAGATCTATGTCGAACTTGTATGGATGAAAAGAAAGATTGTTAGTCTTCACATAGTTTTACTATCTTCATAGAATCTAGAATGTTTAAACATTCCATGATTAGGCATTTCAATATTTAATTTCAATATTCCTAATTATTTTTGCATCTCTCCATTGAGACTATGCATCACACTAGGTTTTAACTATACATGATCATTATATGCATTAAATGAAGAACATGAGATATTGAAACATCTTTATTTTCATTAAAGAACAAGAGTCCACATTAGTACTTAATATGTATTATACATCATCAGCCAACACAAAAGATCTAGCCATACATGAAAAAATAATAAACAATCTCATATTTATTTTATTCATAGAAGAACAAAGTACAAGAAAAGTAGAAAAAAGTTTATCACCAAGATGGATCAAAGTATATTTTCTACACTCCTTTCTCCACCTACAAAGTTTCTTATACAAATGCAGGCTAAACTTTCTTAGAAATTGTACCTTGCACTTTCTTGACCTTCTTTAAACTTTACTCTAAAGTGGCACTAAAGAAATACACTGAAAAGAACTAAATTTTTTCTTAGGGAATTGAACTCTCCAAAGAATAGAATTGAAAACTATATATAGTAAATGCATGATCGAACTCAAGCACCACAGCGCTGCACAGGGTGGCGTTGTGGCGGTGAAAAAAGAAGCACCACGGGGCTAGAATTTGGGCTCCATTGCAGTGTTGGATGATGTGGCACAGTTATGGCCCGAATTGATGCGATTTTTCATTAAGTCGGCGCGGCTCTTAGAAATTGTAACTATTCAGCTGCGACGCCTTAAAATTTGAGTGTTGCGGCACTTGGAATAACATTTCGACGTTGCGACGTTAGAAAGGTTGGGGCTCCAGTGTGAATTTTCCCTAGACACACAATCCATCAATGCTTAGATGCGCTGCGACGCTGACATATGTGACGTCGCAGTGCTTGCAATCAGGGAAAGACGGCCCTGCCGCATTAAAATAGGCGTTTTGGCATTGATCAATAAAGCTTGCAGCATTATCTTTGTCGGCGCTACAATGTTGTCCAACGCTTGTAATTTTTTAACTTTTTCCTACACAATTCTTATAAAAAATAACTAAAACAACGCATTTTTACTAAATTTAACATAACTAAAATAATGCACAATTTATACATATCAATCATTTGTGGTGTTGATAGGTTCATCTCATCATGACATTCGAGTTTATTGAAATTAATGTTTAAATGATTTTAAATTTAATTCTATAAATTTTTAATTCAAAATTACTTCAAAACTCATGTTGATCAAATAAATTCTCTAAAAACATAAGATAACTATAATATAAATTAAAAATAAATTCTTCATTTTAATCAAAATTATAAAAATATCCTCACATAATTTATTTTCATCTGATGAGACATTGATTATCAATTTTTACATTAGGAGTTGCACATCTCTTTACTTTTATTTGATAATTCACTAATTAATACCCACATCAATTTTCTTTATCTTATCTCAATTGAGTTAGTTACTCTCTCCATTTATGCATGTGGTACACGTTGGCCTCTCACCCATGCCGTTACCGACACTCTAAATATAAATATGGTCAACGTGCATACGTGTTTTCCGCGTATTGAGAAGACGACAGATGGAAGCACCAAATACTAAGGAAAAAAGAATGCCCGTTTAATCTTGACCACTCATTGCTATTTCAAGTTATTTAAATTTTTAATAAAATTTAATTAAATTAACTTTAAATTATTAAATTTATTTTATAAGAAACATAGTTTTCAATTAGTCAATTAAAATATGTATTTTTACCTTTTTTTAGGTTTTTTTTAATTATTAAATAAATATATTAAAAATGATTAGGATATATTTTTTTTAATTTTGAATTTATTTGAAAATAAATATATTATGTAATATTATACTAATTTTAAATTATTATTTTTTTCTAAAAATTTGGTTAGAATATAATAGCCAATTTGTTTGTCCTTAAATTTAAGGGCTGGATAAAATAATCGCGGTATTAAGAAACAGAGAAGCTAGGGTGAGAAAGAACGAAGGGGCAACAATGGCGTCCGAGGGCTGCTGCCTGTTCTTAGAGATCATCCTCGCTATCCTTCTACCGCCGCTAGGGGTCTTCCTCCACTATGGATGCTGCAGTGTACGCCTTCTTGCGCACCATCCCCTCATCTTCTAAACCTGTGATTTACTTTTCTTTCTATTTTCTGATCTGTTTGTTCTATGTTTCCTCAGCTGGAGTTTTGCATCTCCGTCCTCCTTACTATTCTCGGGTACATCCCGGGTATGATCTACGCCATCTATGCGATCACCGTTGACAATCCTGATAGACACCGGCGAGACTATTACGAACCGATCGTCGCTTAGGTTTGACGATGCTGGTTCCTCGACCTTCATCTGTTGAGGAGTTTGTCTTTTCCCCTTTTTCTGTTTTTGTAACTATGGCGATTTGCCTTTGATTGTTGTTCGTATTAAAACTTAATGTAGAAGTTTACCGTTGTTATCTTTCGTTGACACGGTTGAATGGAATATCGTATTATGTTTGACTTGAATTGTGTGATTTTTCTTTTTTGTTTTTGCGAGAAATGGGTGATATGTAAATTTGGCTTGATATTGCAGTGCCTTGCTTCAAAGTCACGCACGAACTGAGATACTGGTTTTGTGAGGATTACAGAAAAGGGGATCAAAGGGGATAATGGCATTCTATGTACTAGCTTGATATGGATCTTCAAGTAAATGATAGTTGGAAATGTTGGCCTTGGTGAAGGACTGTACTTTTGTCGAAAGGTTCATGATAAAGTGATGCTTGTATGTTGTTTTTGTTGAGATATCAAGAGAGCCTTCTTATTCCATTAGGCATTATCAAGCACATAAAAATTTGAATTTATGAAAGCAAAGGTTTCTCATCGACCTTGTCAGCTTTATGAACTTGCTTATTGATCCAGGACACATCCGCTGCTATATTTTATGATACCGTTTTCTATTTTTACATATTTTATCCTGTTGGGTATTTGTTCTATTTTACTACATATTTTCTATATCATCAAATTCACATCCAACCCAAATAGAAATGGAAACTCCCTTCAAAACCCACCAAGGTATGTATGAATGGAAGGTCATGTTGTTTGGCTTGTGTAATTCATTTAACAAATTTATGAGGTTCATGAATGAGGTATTCAAAACTTTCTTGGGCCCTTTTGCGTCATATATTTTTACAATATAATACTTTATAACACTTCATTTAGTAATCATTTATAACATTTAATAAGCATATTTTTTACTTCCGCGCCCCCCTTTACCTGCACAATTTGTATCTGAACTTGTGAAAATGCAATTTGGAGACTTTTAGAGTCCACTTCATCGGATTTATCATCAACACAATAAAGATCTATGTAAACCAAAAAAAAGTTACATCCATTCATGTTTGGCCGACACCAATCTCCCTTTTTGACATATGCATCTTCCACGGTCTGGCCAACTTGTATCACTAATTCATACAAGGGTTCTACATGATCATCGATCATTTCACCAATTGTTTAAATCCAAACAATTCACCTAGAGAATGAAGCAACCACACAATTTAGACACCATCAAGAATACATTGAGCATAGAAATCATTTTTTCCTTTCCTTATTTTGATATACCGTTTCACCAGTAGGCCTCCATTGTTGGCACTGGGGTAGTCCTATCACAAGAAGGCAAAGGCTTTGTGTTGTGTAACGATCACCAAGCCTTACTTCTTCTCAATTCACAAAAATCTTTAAGCTTAATGCATGCTTGTTTATTTTTGCAAAAGTTCAATTTTATATTTGAACACAAAGTTGGTTCCCTGAATCAAGTCACCAACTTGTAGAGTAGTGATGTTGATTTATGTGTAACCTGGTTTCAATACAAAGCTCCCCACCTGGTCAATGATTATTAGATTTGTATGGCTACCTATTTAAAGGTAATCAATTATGCATTCTTAACATATCTCTCCAAATGTAACTTATTATAAACATACACACTAAAGGGCTTGCCGCCCGTCTGGGCTTTGACAAAACCTTGATTCAACAACAAACCCTTTTTTTCTTGATAAATTGTAGATGAATGTTTCAAGATTTATTGAAAGTTATTCCACATGCCAAATTTAAAGGGCACATCCCAAAATACCATTTTATACACACCCCTATCCAATCCTATTTTATATGGGAGGATCTAAGTCTTACCTTTATTTGGGACATTTTTATACCAAATGTCGAGCATATTCTATCATGGTCATTGTAAACTGATATTTAGAAATGGGGTATTTCATCGCTCGTAATAATATATTTGACACAATTTTCTTGCAAGAACATGCACCACATTGGCCTCCCTCATAATCTCACCTTCGATCAGGATGCAATTTTTATCAGTTGTTTGCCTTGAGCTTTGAAAATGACTATGCAAACAATTGTACCTTTAATCTTAACCTACAATTGATAATGAAATTGTGGTGGTTAACCGCACATTTTTAAACATGTTTCACAGTCACCAAAACAATGTGATGAAGTCATTAGACAATCCTATTTTACCTTCAATTCAATATCCATCCATTCCACGGGAAAATGCCCATTCAATATTGTTTATACTAAACCACTGAACCATACTGTTTTCATTACAGTTGTACCCGAATAGAAAAACAAGCCTGCTAAAGGCATGTTAGGAGAATTTTAACAAGATATTGCATGAGGTTCGACTTGCACTAAAAAGTCCTAACACAACTACAAACTCTCCACAGCATACACTTACGCTGCAAGGTCTTTAATTCAGGCGATCTTGTCATAATCCGCATCTACAAAGAGTGTTATCCTCTCATCACATTTCTAAATTGAGTCCACAGGACCTTAGCCTATTCCCTAAACCTAAATGGATCAGTTACAATGCTTGCATCATCATCCTGCTGCCTATCAACTACCAAATGATTTTATGACATAATTTCTAACAGTCGGGATGACTTCTTCTGAAGTAATGTTTTTATTTCTCTTTGTTTCACATATATACGTTCCAGAGCGAGCAGAGCTAAGATACATATATTACATGTACTCCGAATGGCGGGATAGAAGAATAGACATTTTGTCTTGTGAAAGCAGTTTTTCCCGTTTATGTCTTTTGCTTCTCTATTCTCCGTCTCCCTGTTCAGCTCCTATGCTACTTATAGATCAATAATGAAGCTGGTGCAAATTTATAGATAAAGATCCCAGATGAGTGAACTCTTTTGATCTAGGGACTGAGAATCGAGATTAGAGCTGAGGACCATTGTTGTTGATACAATTAGCTCAAGAGCTATGGATAGAGGATGTCTAGGGGATAGGATGGTTTGATTCAATAATCATGAATACTGCTCATAGGCATTTGTTGCAAATTGATTAAAAATTAATCTTTGTCAAGTCCTATGACAAGATTTCCTGGGCGCGTAACATAGCTTCTGTAGGAAGAGACTAAGAAGACCATCACATCAAGGAGCTCTTAGTATTGAAAGAAGGATTGATGTAACAGGAGAATAGGTTTGGATCAACCAGTTTTTCATATGGGTCAAGTTTAGGTTTGAGTTTCTGATCCATTTTTAAAATCGGGTCGGGTTTACCTAGAAACTCAATAATGACCTGAATTGAGCCATCCTGACCCCTGCTCACGTCAACACCCATACGCCCAGACCCGAGCCCACTTGGTAGGCAACTCCTCGCAAACCGTAGCCCCCAAGCCACAGTGCACCAAGACCCGCTTTTCACCGCTCCCACTCCACCCCCTTCACGCTCGCATCTGCGCCTTGCCGTTGTGCCCGCACCATCTTGTGTCCGTGATTCCTCCAATCTCTTATTCCGGGTTTTCGGGTCATGTTGGGTTGACCCGAAACCGAATCGGACCAGGTTCGAGTTAAGGATGTTGACCTAAAACTATAACCTGGTCGGGTTCGGGTAAGGTCAAACAGTAACGAGTCAATTTCGGATTGGACATGAATCCGATCTGAAAATTCATTTTGACACCCCTAGTGCTTGCCATACATGATTGTCATGCCAACGCAAGAGGGGAACATTGGATCCTGATGTCTATGAGGAAGAGCTTGTTGCAGTTATGACTAGGTCTCATTGATAACCCCAAGGGCTTGATATTGATAGCCAGAATTATCCTCATTCAAAGACCTTCTGGAGAATCACCAACTCACTTGTGCAACAATTCAAGTGTGTTGATGCTTGTTCATTAACAGGCCACCATGTCTAGTAGGTGATGTTTTTGGTTTTTTGGGCCAAAAATGATTCCTTGTTGTAGATCGACATCTACTTCAAATCTTGCAGGATGGATCAGTTTAATATCTTTCCTTTATTGGATTATTGGTTAAGGTGTAGTAATCTACAAAATTGATCATTTACAAACAAACTAATGGACACTAAGAACTACGATCGAGTTTAGTATGAAAAGCACCAATTTTTTTCCCCCAATCTTTTCTCTCCATTACATTTTGGAATTATTAGGGTTTTGAAAGGGAACCTGAGAGACCTTGATTGCAGAAATTTATTGCCCACTAATGCTATTGATATGATCGCCTTTTTTGAAACTAAAATTAACCTGGATGTACTTGCTAACCCTTGTCAATAAATTTCTTAATCATCTCTATTTCTGCTGAGAATGGGACCATGGAGAGAAAATCTCTTTGTGAGGTTATTACTTCCATTGCATAAAACATGATTGATCCTTCATTTGTTCTTTTGCATATTTCAACTACATCAGACAAGCCATGGAGAAAGTTGGTTGCAGAATGGTTCCTCGGTCTAAGCTTTTGGACTTTATTAATTACATTGCTCATGCCTCTTTATTTGAATCTTCCAATGAAGATCTCTCGTATACTTGGTTCAATCCTCAATTTGATAAACATACCTGTTGCCTTCTGGATAGGGCTCTGAATGCTTCCCTCTTAGATGCTACAATGTTTGTACTCCTCTCTTCTCTAATCACTTCCCAAGTAGAGAGATTATTCTGTGCGGATGCCGAACGCATTTCACCGTTCGGAGACCAACCAGAATGTGTCACGTCAGCGGCACCGAGCTTGGTACCAGTTGCGGTACCGAGCAGTACCAAGCCGGGTACCGAGCTGTGTGCGGCGTGCCGTATTATGGTTGGTCTCCGAACTGTGTTCGGCGTCTGCACAAAATAATTTGCTCTCCAACTGTGCTGAAAATGGGTTAGCTCTCCTCTTGCCAAGCACAAACATACATATAAACTTCAAAATTTTTAGTGAGGATATTTCCAAACCTTAGCTTGAACAAAATAATCTCTGTTGATTGTGTCAACAGAAATTAATTAAAAGACCCTATTGGTGGCGCTTCACAGAGCTTTTGATTGTGTCAACCTGCGAATCTCTTTTGATCGACTGATTCAAAAAGCCAAAAAAGGTATTACCCAGAAATTTGTGAACTGAATTAAGGCTTGCATTGTTAGTGCCCACTTCTTTGTTGTGATTGATAGTGAGATCAAAGGGTATTTTAATGACTCCAATGGCCTTAGGCAAGGTTGTCCTCTATTTTCTTTTCTTTTACTTTTGTGGACATAATCATAAGTTATAAGCATAATCTTATGTTTTTTACTGAACGTCTGCAATTATATTAAATCCATCATGTGGAGATATCTAAGTCTTCGTTTGATACGCCTTTTTTCTTATATCTTAAAGCAGTTTTTTAATATAAAAATTTAATTTTTTTACTAGAAAGCTACTTTAAGAAGCAATAAGAAAGCTGTCCTAAAAGAAGTCTAAGGCTTCGTTTGAAATAGCTTTCGTACTGCTTTTTTAAATGGTTTTCTAGTACAAAAATTTTAAATTCAAGAATTTTTTTTTACTAGAAAGCTGTTTTAAAAAGCAAGAATAAAGCCGCCCCAAATGAAGACTAAGTTTTTTGCTTAGATCTACTACTTTTGTTATTGGCATTATAAGAAAAATCAATTCATTGATCTCACAATAAGAGAAAAAATTACACAAAATCTCCTTATTCAACTCCACTCTCCTGAAATCCATGGGTGGTCTGGGTCTTTACTCATTGTAAGCTACGAATATCATTTACAAAGTGAAAATGAATGGTCAACTATGCAAATCTAACTCCATTTTGACGTTATGGCTTTCTAATTCCCATAGTGGATCAATTTGGGATTCTAGAGGCAAAAATGTCTCTCATTTATGAAAAAATTTTACTATTTGTGACTAAAATGTTAAGAGGTAGATGTTTTTTAATCTGCTTAAGAACTTGCCTCGGCCCTTTTATTTTTTTTTTATCCTTAGATCCATAGAAAATTGTTTTTGCATTTGAAAAAAAAAAAATTTACACACAGCTCACCTTGGCTTGTTGGTTGAAAGCTTATACTTCCAACTAAGAAGTCTTGGGTTCGAGTCTTTGTGTATGCGTTGTGTGTGTGACTTTGCCTTAAATGTCCCCAAAAAAAATAATTTGTTGGGTAATTAGGCAATAACCTTGTTTGGGTGACCAAATGATGCTAAGCAAACAAGTCAATCATAGTTGGAGTGGTCTCCAGCCTGAACTTGAGCTTGATTAATTAATCGAGTTTGACTGTTTGAGCTCAAACTTGAGTTTTTGAGTTTAAGTCGGCTCATGTATTATAAAAGGGAGAAAATACTTATGATTCAACCAATTATTATAAAAAAATAAAAAAAAATATATAAGAAATTAGAAGAAAAATAATTACTTTTTATAAAAAAATGTAATGTAATTTTTAAATAATTTTGTACTTAAAATATTGAATATTAGTATATTTTAAGTGCATTTTGTATTCATATTCTTTAAACTAGCATGAGCTAATGAGTCGAGTTAGGGTTGGTTCAAATTTGTCGTGTTAGCTCATTGAGTTCAACTGATGATCTATTTATCAATTCAAGCTCGAACTAGCTCATAAATCTTCTTGACTCATATGCTTAAAGGTAAGTGGTCTCATATTAAATGGCATTGAGACTCTTCCACTCTCTAGAGGCATCTAACTACACAAATGATACTCAAATTGTTTCTATTGACTCTCAAAGGCATGCTTAGCTTAGTTTGGTAAAAGACCATTTCATAGCTCAAATTGTTTCTAGACTCTCAACCTATTAAAAACCTATTATCCTACAATTTTCATACATAAAAAATAAATATTAAACATAACTTACAAACTCTCATAATTCAAGCTTTAGTATTTATGATGATATTAAGCTAAAAAAAAAACTCAAATTTTTTTATCAAATAAACACTTCAATTTCAATCATTTTCATCCTCTTTCCCTAAAAGAAATTTGCTCCCGACCCATCAACTCGACTCAAAACATGTATTTAGTTTTTAACCCATTTAATAAGCGGGTAAAATTTGAGTTGAAATTTTCAATGAATCGAGTTAGAATTAACCTGCAAACTCATTTTCTAGTTGAAAATAACTCATTTAACATATTTTTCTTTAAATTTTTTTATATGTGAATTTAATCTTATTATTTTTTTTATCAAATATCATTAATTTAATAGTTAACAAGTTATTAAAAAAATTTAACCAAAACAAGTTAATGGGCCATATCCAAGTCATTCAGGTTGTTAGAATTGATATATTTAGCCCATTTATTAAATGGGTAGGTTCCAGTTGATGATAGAAAGCATATACTCTCAAAAATCCACATCCATATTAATCTCTATAAGCCCTTCAAACTCAATAAAATAAAATAATTCAATCTTCAAACAAAAACATTAAAATAAAATCATTATTTTCTACAATATATTTCTATCAACAAACGAGTAATCGATGCCAATTCTTCAACCCAAACAAACATTTCATTTCCTTAGAAAAAAAAAATTCAAAAAAATGTACCATAAACAACAGAAAGCTTCATCAAATAAACAACAAGCAAAAGATTAAGTTACATTTAAAAAATAAAAAAAAAGACTGATGAAAAGATTTAAAGTTACTTTTGAGAGGATTTAGAAGTGATTCTTTCGCTTCCTGGCTGTGTATTTAGTATCAGGAGGGACTGTATATCCTTTGTTCCTCATTTGGTTCTTCTTTTTCAGTACCCAAGCCTTGCCTTTACCTTTCTTTGTTATTTTGGACCTTTTTGCTGGTCGATGTCTATCATATATACCAACCTGCAGAAATCAAAGAAAGTATGGTAACCGACATTGCAAAGGAATGAAAAGTAAAGCAATTTTTTTTTTTTTTTTGAAACAATTAAAAATACTTATATGTTGATATGTGATTAAATCTCACATATTTCATGATTATAATTTTTAAATTAAGTATGGCACAAGAAAATGAAAGTGTATTTATTATTATATTTTATTTACTTGAAGTGAATAATAACACTAGAGAATATAAGAAAGAGGAAAAAAAGTGGATTTCATTAAAATAAAAATTGATTAGGAATAAAATCCAACTGGAGTGTGAATAAGTTTGTGTATGATATGTTTTGAAGTGCCTAAATATCTGGAAAAAAAGAGTCAAAAAAATTCCAAGAGATACCCAAAGTGTAGTTTCCTTTGTTTTTTAACTAAGAAAATAAAGATATCACACATGGTGTCTAAAATTTTTTAGCGTTAGACAAAGTATTGAAGTGATTAAGATTTCATTTGAGACAGTTTTCTTACTACTTATTGAAGTAATTTTTTAGTACAAAATTTTTTAATTTAATTTTTTTTTTGCTAAAAAACTGCTTTAGAAAGTAATAAAAAAGTTATCCCGAATGAAATCTAAGGTTCATTTGGAACGGCTTTCTTTCTGCGACGTTTGGAACGGCTTTCTTTCTGCATCTTAAAGCAGCTTCCTAGTACAAAAATTTTAATTTTTGTACTTAAAAGCTGCTTTAAAAAGCAATAAAAATGTCGTCCCAAACGAAGTCTTAAGTGTGGACAACCAAACAAGAGGTTAATAGACACAGCCTCTTGATTCGTCTTTCACACTTATCTACGTTGAGATAAGATGTACAGATAGAAAACAAAGAGATTGTGTGATAGAAATATTAATCACTTTTATGACTCCTACCTCTCTAGTTACCACATAACATCTACATTATAATTTTTCTATATTGTCTACGCCCGACATTGATACACCAAGTGGCAGACATTGGGTCTGGGTTGTATTCAAGTTAGAGTAAAAAAAGGAGGTGGGAGAAAGAAAAAGTAGGTATATATTTTTTTACTTACTGTTTGTTCGTCATCATCATCACTCTCATCATCGTCACTACATGTCTCTCCATCTTCACCTTTGCCCTTTGGAAGAGATGTTTGCGTGGAAGATGGCCCACAAGTGAGAACCAGGTAAGCCTTTCTTGCTTTTGTACTGTGGAGGTTGTGTAGTTAGCATAGAGAACGCTTAAAAAGCAGATATAACTTACACATGCATGATACTAAATTCAAAAGATTGATCTTCTTTAAAACTAACTTTATGTTTGTTAATCAAGATATAGTACCACATATGAAGAAGAATAACAAAAGTGAACATTCACCTGACCAAGGTAGTAGTATCAATTCCAAATTATTGAAAGTTTAGTAACAACTCCTAAAATTCTAGTTTGAATGAATAAACCTTTCTCAACAGTTTTTTTTTTTTAGTTACAATAATCCGTGGAACACAAGTAGATTCCTGATATTTCCAGCTTGTAGAAAAACAGCCTTAAGAAACTAGGAACGCCAGCCAATTTTCCATACAAAAATTGACTGAAGAAAGGACCAAAATCAGAATAATTCAAATGCCTATGTTTTGAGGAAAGTCCACTAGACCAAATATACATAGCAAGAGCACCAATGTGGTAAAGTTTATTTTAAAGTGGACTCACAGAGGCCAATCGAGCTTGTTAAAATCTGAGAACAGAATAAATATACCTGTGAGGAAAATCAACAACCACTCCACCTGCAAAACCAGCACGCATGGCAGCTTTCATAATCATCTCACTCTGATTCATATTCTCAGAATAAAGTTGCAAAACTGCTCTTGCACCCCTTGTTAAGCATCGATATAATGAACCAAAAAAGGCTCTACAAAAAAAACACACACACACAATAAAGGCAACAGAATGGGTAGCTGAATTCAAGTTTTGAATCCTATAGGAAAGTACATACTTCAATCTCGCCATTGGTTCATGAGAGGACTTGTCGGCATAGCACAACCACTGCAATATCAGTTAGGCTTGAAGTTAAGAATATAGAATCATCAATTACGGTCACAATCATAACTGCCAAAAATAAATAGTAAAAAACTACACTACCTTAATACTTGGTCTAACGGAACTGTCCAGTACAGTGTAACATGATTTTCAATTGTGTTCTTACAGCGAAAAATTATTACATGTGGGCCCGGATTCGTCCGGAGACCAATAAAAATATGTCATGTCGCCCCAAAAATGTACCGTACTCGTAAGCGGAACCGAACGGCTCTCCCGTCCGGTGTCCGCACACAATAATCTCCCTCTTACAACACCATAGGTTTCTCAAATACAAATACATTAGGCAACACCGTGCAAAAACAAAGTTGCATAAAGCTGAAGACTATCAAGAAGTATAAGATATTCTAAAGTAAATGATCATGCAATCCTTGTTTCTGTAATTCAGCAATATCAGTGGTTATAATGGAGATAACAATCAACAAAGTTTAGCTTGCCTTCTTCAAGAACAGTGTTCCTGTCGCAGTAGGACATGCAAACATCACTAAATTCATCTTTAGATCTAAAATCTAACAGTTCTAAATGTCACGACTCGGCCCGGTAAGCTCGCATAGGCGAGGCGGGAACGGTGGCCGGACGGTAGACTAAAAATATCCAATCTCTAAGTCTATCACCATAACATTTGAAAGAGCCACTAAAACATTAAATTTGAAAATCACACAAAAATAGAATCATTAAAACTCATATAGTTACATTTCTTCGGTCGTGTCTCTCCTGTGATACACGTTTTCACCTCTTCTACTCATTAAGATTAAAATAATTAATACTGAAAATTTTTAACAACTAACAGTAAATCAATGATAAGTAAAACATAACTCTAAATAACAATAATTCAAAACAGAATGAGTAATATGATAGATGTCACATTTCATTAAAACATATCATAAATTAATTTCTTATAAACATGTCATTTAAACATATGCATAAATCATAAATTCATATCCTTCATATTCATTATATCAATATTCGTAACTTTCTTATTTCGTATATATTACAACCGTCACACGAGCCACCGTCTAGTACCATAAAGGTACTCATTTACCATTTTCTTTTTCATATCATTTACCATTTTAACGTGCACGAATACAGCGTCTCCAGCTAATACCATAAGAGGATGAGCTTCATCAATTCAGTATGCACATAGAAGCATTCAATAATAATCATATCTTATTTCTATAACATATAAACTTTATATGATAATGACATAAAATATAACATATAAATTGCATGATTAATCATTGGACAAGAGTAACAGAATCATGATCTAAATTAATCATAAAGATTTTATAAACATGTTTGGTCTTTCAAATCATATAACTTGAGATAAACAAAATTATCACTGTAATAAAGAACCATGAGTGCTTAATTCGATTTAAAGGATTTGATTTCTCCGCTCGAATACCTTCCTTCGGGGTCCGTGATTATCACTTATAAACATTAATTTCTCCATCAAAATCTTCATAATAAATCTAAATAAAAATCTTTTTCTCTTTCTAAACCACGCTAAATTCTCTCTCCCCCTCTCTCTCTCTCTAATTGATCACATAGAGCATGAAGATATTCTAAAAATTCATATTTTATTCTAATTACATATTTTAATCAAATTAACCCTTTACCCTAACCTAATATAAATTAAAATAAAATTATTTTGAATTATTTTAAGGTAATGGTAAAGGGATTATTTGGATAAAATTATGTATTTAGACAAAAAAAAATGAAATTTTAGAATTGTTACATGATTTATGTGTTAAATTAGAGAGAGGGAGAGAAAGAGAAAGAGAACCTATGGAAGTTTTAGAAAAATAGAATAATTAAGTTTGAGATAATTAGCGTTAACCTATGAACATTTTCTTATAGGTGTTATTTGTGGTGACCTCGAAGGAAGGACTAAGGAGGATTAGCGAAAAGAATCATTTTCCTAATTTCTATCATGGTTCTTTATTATAGTGATACTTTTTGTTTCTCTCCAGTTATATGTTTTGAAAAACCAAGCATGTTTATGAAATCTTTATAGTTAATCTAGATCATGATTCTGTTACTCTTGTCAAATGGTTGATCATGCAAATTATATGTTACATTTTATGATATTATCATACAAAGTTCGTATGTTATAGAAATGAGATGTTATGATTGTTATTGAATACTTGTATGTGCATGCTGAATTGATGGAACTAGTTGGGGACGTTGTACTCGTGCACGTTAAAATGGTAAAATTTATGAAAAATGAAATGGTAAGGGAGTACTTTTATGGTACTAGACGGTGACTCCTGTGACGGTTGTAATATATACGAAATGAAAAGTTATAAATATTGAAATGTATATGAAAAATGAATATGAAAGGTTATAAATTTATGATTTATATTTATGTTAATGTTATGTTTATAAGAAGAAATCAATTTATGACATTTTAAATGAAATGTGGAATCTAACATATTACTCATTTTGTCTTGAATTACTGTAGTTTAGAGTCATGTTTTACTTACTAAGCATTGGCTTACTGTTAGTTAAAAATTTTCAGGTTTATTATTTTAAATCATGAGTAGAAAGGGCGAAACATATATCATAAGAGAGGAGCACCTGAAAAAATGTAACCTTATGAATATTAATGATTTTATGTTTATGTGTTTTCAAATTTAATGTTTAGTGGCCTTTCAAATGTTATGATTCTATTTTTTTTTTAGAGATCAAATATTTTAGTCTAACGTCTGACCTTCGTTCCCGCCTCGCCTATGCGAGCTTATTGGACCGGGTCATGACACTAAAGATGAAAAAACATTAAAAATAAGGTATAGAAATTAGAGCTCAAGATTTTGATTTCATAAAAGGTTAACTATTAATGCACAACTAGAACACTTAAATAAAAAAAATGGAAAATGGATTAATAAAGAAGAGAATGTTAAAAAAGAGTGCTTCTAACAGTTATTATTCAATGATATACAAAGATGTGGACAAATTTTTGATTTTAAGTGCTGAAAGGAATGAAAGATGTCCATGACAGAGGACAGCACAATAACTTGCGCAAATTTGGGGATCTATCATGGCACTGTCAACGCTTTTGTTAGTTTAATAAAAAAGAAACTTATAAAAGATCTTGGCATTATCTCATAGCTTTTTAACACTATTGTTGACTAATTTAAAATCAAAAAAGAATAAAGAATTAAAAAAGAGATGAACGGATGCATTGTTTCAGACAGAGGCAAAATAGAAAATGCGCTCCGAAAAAGGCACAACTACTGGACTAATACAAAAGTGTGTTAAAAAAAAGGGAGATCTTCCATTCTTTCCATTCAAAATCAGACAACTGTTTTGTTTCTAAATCCTGATCCTCTCGTGTGCTTTGCCTACCCCATCTAAATACAGCACGATCCATTCGCAAAACCAATCGCCGACTACAGTCCCGTCTACGAGCAACCTCCGGCCAAAGGTTTACGCTGAACCTACTTCATTCTCACGGAATCCACACGCCTATGTCCGATTCCCATTCACAAATGATTCTGATCCACAAACCCATGTAAGCCTAGAATAATTGATCACATATTCTCATCATTCACTCACACCCATTCACCAGCAATTTGTGGAATGATTTCAAAAGTTATCAAAATACCGATTCACTCCACGTACTTCTTGGTGAGCCATATACCATCATATGATAATTCTCAAAAACAAATATCACACAAATGTCAATTGTTTAACATTTGAATTCTAATGATAAAAATAGCCCGCTACATATCAAAAAAGTTCGACAGCAATAACAAGAGATAAATTATTGATAACACCTTCAAAAAAATATATCATAAATTAACATTTAAATACTTGCATATGCACAAAGGCTAGATAATTTCAAGCAAAGATTATCCTAAAAGCTGGAATAACAAATAAAATCCACAGATAAATCAATGAATAATATCAAAGCAAACTCATAAAAATAGAAAGCTTAAAGAGCAGGACAGCAGCATCAACAGTCATAGTCATACACCTAGCTTTTGCAATGCAGAAGGGTTAAGCCAAAAATCAGTAAAATGCATAGCAAACATTACACAAGTTATGCCTGAACATGAACACTTGCTAATGAATGTTCTCTAGAACTGAAGAAGCAAAGGGTAAGCAGAAACATATTGTTCCATAAACTCCCCAAATGATGAAAATCTGATAGGAAATACTTGGGTTCTCAAGTATTTCTAACCCAAACCAGTAAATATACAGCAGCCAACTGCTGTCCACAGCAGCAAAACAGCAGGAATTCGGTGAAAACGCAGCAGGAAATAGGGAAAAGCAGGAGAAAAACACAAGATATTGCTTGTATTTCACTAGAAATCAAAGAAAGCAGCAAAGATACAATATGTTCTTCAATCCGAGAGGAAGAACAACTCTCCACGATCTCCGGCAAAGCCAAGAGCCCAAAGCAAACCCTAGATCTCAAAGAGAAAACTCAAATTCAAGATAATCCCCTAATTCCCCCCCAAACTCCAGGGGCGGAACCCCATTATGGCTAGGGGGAGCAATTGCCCCCCCTCAAAAAAAATTTTTTTTTTCATTACGCAATTAATTAGGTTTTTTTTAGTCTTTATTATAAGGGTTTTAGGTAATTGCCCCCCCTACAAATGTTAAAATACTATAATCTTTAGGCAATTTCCCCCAATATAATTAAATATATTGTGTAGATGTGTTATTACTAGAGAATGATGAACCAAATATAAAGAGAAATAGTAAATCAAAATTTGTTCCAGGGGCAGCGCCCCCGGAAACCCCCGCAGGGGCGCTACCCCTTGACACCGCAACCTGACCGGGCAGGTCGAACCCCGCTAGGGGGTGCTGCCCCCTTACACCCCCGACATATATGCGAATAGTTACTATAAGTTTGCCTCCCCTGAAAATTATGGTTGGTTCCGCCCCTGATTCTAATGATATAAATATCTCGCTGCACATCAAAAAAGTTCGACAGCAATAACAAGAGATAAATTATTGATAACACCTTAAAAAAAAAATCATAAATTAACATTTAAATACTTGCATATGCACAAAGGCTAGATAATTTCAATCAAAGATTATCCTAAAAGTTGGAATAACGAATAAAATCCACAGATAAATCAATGAATAATATCAAAGCAAAGCACTCATAAAAATAGAAAGCTTAAAGAGCAGGACAGCAGCATCAACAGTCATAGTCCTACACCTAGCTTTTGCAATGCAGAAGGGTTAAGCCAAAAAATCAGTAAAATGCATAGCAAACATTACACAAGTTATGCCTGAACATGAACACTTGCTAATGAATGTTCCTAGAATTGAAGAAACAAAGGGTAAGCAGAAACATATTGTTCCATAAACTCCCCAAATGATGAAAATCCCACATCAGTTCAAGGAAAATCAGACAAAAAAATAAGAGAAGTGTTGTCTTGAACAACCTGAATTGCAGAGATACTTATAGCACCATCTATAACGCCAGGCCTCAAACCCAACCCCTGCAATATGAGCAACCATCAGATGGACCAAATAAGTATCTGACAAACTTTGAAGACAGTTCATGGTAAAAAATTAAAAATAAAAAGACGTTTTGACAGTTAGAGATGAAACAATATAATATACATAATGAAAGAGTTAGATTGTAGTAGTACTAATCAGTCAACCAAGTGTCATATAAATAAAAGCAAATGGTTTAGTGACCTCTTTAATTCACTCACTACCAGAAATAACCACTCTGTTCATATCTGTTTTAAAGTTATCTATTAATCTCCGTAGCCAACTAGCCATCATTAAGTTAACAACTTTGACCTCCAAAACCAACCCTAAAAAAACTTATCTAAGAGAAAAGAAATTCAGGTTCTACAAAGCTGTTTAGAAAGTTGAAAATGAATGAGCGAGCACAAAAATACTACAAAAACAACAACAAGACTTTATCCCACTACATTGGGTTAGTTACATTAATCCATTTCTCTATTGTATTCTTTTAAGACTCAAATTCTCATTTAAATTTAATAAAAAA